TTTAAAAATAATATTTTAAAATACCAAAAATTTATTTTAACTAGTATCAAAATTTTACGGTCATTACAGCTATAACCCACGATTTTTTCTATTACTAGCAGTTAAATCTGTAGACAGATAATTCTGTGAAGGCAAAAATTCTCAATTTTGTGAGATATAACCCATGATTTTTCAGTATTTCTAGTTATTTCAATCCGTTAGCAAATAATTTTGGGAAGACTAAAATTCACAATTTCGTGAACTATAACCTAATTTTTTTGCCATTTTTAGTGATTTTGAACCTTTAGCAAATAATTTCACAGACCAAAATTCATAATTTCATGAGCTTTAACTCATAATTTTTGGCCATTTTTTGTTATTTTGACCCATTGTCACATAATTTCGTGGATGGAAAAATTCACGATTTAATGATCTATAACCCATGATTTTTAATCATTATTCACCATTTTGACCCATAGCCAAATAATTTTGCAAATGCCAAAATTCACGATTTCGTGAGTTATAACCAATAAGTTTTTTACCATTTTAAGTTATTTTGACGCATTAGCAAACAATTTCGTAGAGGCCAAAATTTGAATTCTCTTGAACTACAACCCATCATTGTTAGCCAATTTTAGTCGTTTGGACCCGTTGATAAATAATTATGTAGAGAACAAAATTTAGTATTTCATGAGTTATAACCAACAGTTTTTTGCTAGTATTAGCCATTGAGACCTATAGCCAAATGATTTCACTGAGGTCAAAATTCATGATTTCGTGAGTCAAAATCAATGTTTTTTCTACATTTTCAATCATTCTGACTTGTCAGTAAATAATTTCGTGGGGGCCAAATATCATAATTTTGTGAGCTATATCCATGATTGTTTGTCATTTTTTAGCCATTTTGACAAGTTGGCAAATAATCTAGTAGAGTCCAAAATTCATGGTTTCCTTAGCTATACCCACAAATTTTGGCATCTTTCGTCATTTTGACCTATTGGCAAATAGTTTCATGAATGGTAAAATTTACGATTTCAAGAGGTATAACCCATAATTTTTTGCCATTATTAGCCATTTAGATTGCAAATAAAATTCCCTAGAGATGAAATTCACGATTTCGTGTGTTATAACCCATAATTTTTTGCTATTTTGAGTCATTTTGACCCATTTGCAAACAATTACATGGAGATCAAAATTCAAAATTTTGTGACTTATGACACGCTTATTGACGATTTTCTTCATTCTTACCTGTTGGCATATAATATAAAGAGACAAAACTTCACAATTTTATGAGTTATAATCTATGATTTTTGCCATTTATAATCGTTTTGACCTACTAGCAAATAATTTCATGGAGAATAAAATTTACAATTTCTTGACCAATGACTCACGATTTTTGGCCATTTTTAGTTATTTCGACCTAATGGAAAATAATTTCATAGAGGGACAAATTCACAATTTCATGAGCTATAAACCAATTGACAAATGATTTTGTGAAGGCAAAAGTTCTCGATTTCGTGAGTTGTAACCCATGCGTTGCCATTTTTAGTCATTTCGGACTATTAAAATAATTCCGCGGAGGCCAAAATTCATAATTTTTGGATATTTTCCATCATTTGGTCCATTAGAAAATAATTTTACTAACACCAAAATTCACGATGTCATGAGCTATAATCCATAATGTTAGGTTATTTTTAATTTTTTTTTTTGGTCAATGAAAAATTTTATTTCACTCACCAAAGTGTAAACGTTTTGTACATCAAGACTCTCAAAAACATTGAGGTATCAATCTGAACATTCTAAAATAGAAAAGAGCAAAACAGTGAAGCTAAAGTATCAAAACTGATTAGCCTGGCACACTTACAAGAGCCAATTGTAAGCTTCATCAGGCAAAGAGCAATTGAGTAGGATGGTCCAAGTATCAACTTTTATGGCCTTGATCAGCTGTTCTACACTTCTGAATTCCTCCTTGAAGATCCTAGCATTCCTCTCCCTCCAAATGTTGTAAATTGTAGCCGTGAGAGCTAGTCTTTTAATCCTCTGTTTGCTGCCTTTTCCTCTTAACCTGGAAGTATACCAGTTCATGAGCAAATACCAATCCGCTGATCTCCACTTGAATTTGAGCCACTCCATAATGCCATTCCACACACAATTGGAGAAGTTGCAGTCAAAAAATAAGTGGTTCCTGCTCTCAGCTACTGCACCTTCACACAACAAACACTGATTTGATTGGATGATCCCTCTCTTGTGTAATCTGTCCTGTGTAAGGAGTTTATCTTGAATGGCCAGCCACATAATGAAGGAATGCTTGGGGTAGTTTAACTTATCCCAAACAGTATCATGCCAGTCCACCTTTGAACCTGGTTTTAGAACATTGTACAGAGCAGAGAGTTGGACTTTGGAATTTACATAGCAGGAGCTAATTAGATTCTTCAAGTTCTCAACACCACCCAGTAAGTTCACAGCATAGTCTCTATACTTGATTAACTGCTTCCATAGCCAGGAGTCACCTGCTTTACTCTTAACATGCCAGATATCATTTCCCTTAAGATAGGTACCATGTACCCATTTTATCCATAATGACTCCTTGTTGATGTGAATATACCAAAGAGTCCTCATAGCAGTTGCTTTATTCCATAGGGCAGCAGAAAAAACCCCCAAGCCTCCATTGATTTTACCAGTAGATACACTGCTCCAAGCAACAAGAGGAACCTTTCCCCAGAGAAAGTTTCTGCAGAGTTCATCTATTTTGTGAAGGGCTTTTGCTGGAAGGATATAGCTAGAGGTCCAGAATATTTGCACTCCCAGAATTACACTCTTTATGATTTGTAATCTACCGGCATATGATAGATTTTTGCTCTTCATCCATGTTTGAAACTGGTTTGTTATTTTCATGAACAAAGGATTACAGTCCTGATAAGACATCCGCTTGCAAATGAGTGGCATACCAAGATATTTGATAGGCAAAGTACCCTCAGGGAACCCCAAGCATCTTGAAATAGCATTCTTATCTGATTCTTGAACCCCACCATAGAAGATTGAACACTTCAAAGGGTTTGCTTCCAATCCAGAAATATCTCCAAAGTCTTTGACACATTTGTAGATTTTCTGTACAGAATATAAATCACCCTTACAGAAAAGGAGGAGGTCATCAGCAAAAACTAAGTGTGAAATTTTGAACTTTCTACACTTAGGGTGGTATTTGAACTGTTTGTCATATCTTAGAAGTTCAAAACTCCTGGACAGATATTCAAGACCAATAATGAAGAGATAGGGGGAGAGGGGGTCCCCTTGCCTTAGGCCTCTTTCTCCATTGAAGTATCCATGCAATGAACCATTTAAGGAGATGGAGTATTTGGGGGAAGTGATACATGACATGATCCAGTTTGTAAAGATATCAGGAAACCCTAGGCCTCTTAACATAACATGCAGAAAATCCCAGCTGATAGTGTCGAAGGCTTTCCTTATGTCAATGTTTATCATAACTCTGGGAGAGAGATTTTTCCTGCCGTAATTCTTGACAAGTTCATGTGCTAACAGGATATTACTGGTGATTTGTCTCCCTTTTACAAAAGCACACTGAGCCTCATTGATGAGAAACCCCATCACAGTTTGAATTCTATTTGCTAAAATTTTTGATATGAATTTATAAAGGCAATTGCAACAAGAGATTGGTCTGAAATCAGCTGGGGTTTTAGGGCATTGTACCTTAGGAATCAAAGCAATGTAAGTTGAATTCACAGCACCCAGCAGCTTCCCTGTTCTAAAGAATTCCCTGATAGCAGCTATAACCTCATCTCCAATAACAGGCCATGCTGCTTTATAGAAGGAGGCACTATATCCATCTGGACCTGGGGCTTTATTATCTGGTATAGAGAAAACAGCAGCTTTAATCTCTTCATCATTGACTGGCATAGAGAGATCTCTCCTTTGATTTTCCATCAGACATGGTCCACTGCTAATAATATTTGCATTAGCAGTTGAAGTGTGCTTGGCAGTGCCCATAAGACTCTTGTAAAAAGAGATGAACTCGTTTACAATATCCTCTCCATCAGAGATTTTCCCCCCATCACTATTATATAGTGTTAATACCCTGCTGTGATGTCTGTTGGATTTAATGATAGAGTGGAAAAAACTTGTATTCTTGTCTCCTTGTAAACTCCAATTTATCCTAGCCTTTTGCTGATAAAAAGATAATTCACAAGCGAAGAGTTTGCTGTATTTTGAAATGCAGCACTTTTCTTGCCTGATGAGCTCAGAATTTAAGGGATCAGATTGCAACTTCATTTGGACTTCATCTACTTCAGCTTTTGCTCTCAGGACCTGTTCACTTATATTGCTAAAATGTCTTTTGTTAAGACCTTTTAGAGATTCCTTCAGTTTCTTCAGCTTTGAATACACAGAGAACATATTACAACCTCTCACAGAATCCCCCCAAACAGCTGATACTGTAGGAATAAAATCAGCATGTTTTGTCCACATTTTGAAGAATTTAAAAGGTTTTTTCCCCTGTATTTTATCTTCATATACTGAAATAACAGCAGGTGAATGATCTGAGAAACTTGGAAGCATGTACTCAACATGACTTGCATTGTATTTGTTAATCCAGAGATCATTTACTAAAGCTCTGTCCAATCTGCACCACACTCTGGAATCTGAGTCTTGTTTGTTGTTCCAAGTATAAAAACAGCCTATAGTTTTGAGATGTGATAACTGACAGTCTTCTATGAATTTGCAGAAATCCCTTGTATCATTATCAGTTAACATGATACCCCCCCAGTTTTTCCTCATTACTAATCATAACATTGAAGTCTCCACAAAGTAGCCATGCTTCATTTCCAATTGCTTGCTTGATCTGAGTTAATTCCAACCACAGGTTTCTCCTAGTTTCTTGATGATTTAAACCATATACTGCAGATAGTATGCTACTGAAATTACCATCCTTTGAATTTACAGAGCAGGTAATTTGCTGGGGAGAAGAAGACAAAACTTGAATGTCCAGAACATCAGGATCCCACAAAATGAGGATTCTAGCTTTTGCAGAGCAAGTAGCATTTGAGAGCCAACTCCAATTTTTTGCTATCCTTTTAGCAGCCTCAGGCACTTTAGTATTTCTTATTTTTGTTTCTAGAAGAGAAAAGAAAGAAAGGTGATACTGCATAAGATGATTCTTTGCCAAAAGTTGTTTAGGGGACTTATTCAAGCCCCTAACATTCCAAAAAGAGAAATTCATGTTGCCCTACCCCCCCTATCAATTGTAAAGGGGTCAAAATCATTTATTTCACTGTTCAACAAAGAAAAAGGATTCTTAATCATGGAATTCTTCCTCTCTTGATTTTGGATTTGTATTCTTGAGGCTTCATTTTGTGTAGATTTCCTACTAGTATTTTGTCCAGCATGCACAACATGCACGGAACAGTGCTCTCCAGATATAGTAGATTTTACACCTTCCTGGCAATTACCAAAATCTTTCCCTGTAGTCTGAGTAATCTCCTGCAGAACTTCTTTTCCTTTCCTATTCTCTGTAGGTGTGATTTCCACATCTATAACACTTTTTGCATTTTGTTCCTGGACTGTCTGGTCAATCTGAACCTCCTGTTTACCAGAAATACCATGCTGAGCATGTTTTGGTATCCATCTTTGCACCATAGGCTTCCTTTTACAGTGTTGATTGTCATGACCCACTTTCTTACAATGATCACACCACCTTGGTTTTAATTCATAGATAACCCTCTGTGTATAAGAACACCCATTTGGGCCTTTTATAACCACTTGGTCAGGCAGTGAGGAAGGCAATGTTACCTGAACCAGAACTCTTGCATAAGCTAGCCTTTTCCTATTTGCAGTAAGCTTATCAGTAGCAATAGGGTGACCAATAAGACTGGCAATTTTGCTTATCCCCTTTTCATTCCACAGATTCAGTTTTAATGCAGGAAACTGGATCCACATAGGGTAGATGTGTTCATCAACTTTCTCAAAATCATCCCCCATAGACCATGCTTTTAATAAGAAAGGTCTTGAGCCAAAAAACCAAGGTCCACTCATAAGTATTTCATTCATTTCATCTTTACTATTGAAATTAAAGAGAAACACCCCTGGTTTAAGAAGACAGATTTCTGGATTTGCAAGATGTGACCAGACTTTTTTAACAAAACTTTCCATTGCTTTAAATCTTACATTTATACCCAGAACTTGACCAACAAGAGAGAATTTCCAGATAGAAGCCCCTGCATTCCATTCATCATCATCAAAAATGACTGTATCAGTTGTTCCAGAAGGAATGTAGCTCAGATCTAAGCCACACCCCGGTTTCCTATTATCGGAAAAGAGACTCACCCAACTTTTCTTTACATTTCCACCCGAGGTAGAAGAATCAGGATTCAAATTATCTGTATTTAATTTTGTAGCTTGATCCAAATTGACAGTATCTGAATCAGGTTCTTTTGAAGCAGAAATCAATGAAACAGTATCAAGTTTTGCAGAGGAATCTAGATTCGAAGCAGATAACAATGGACAAACTGGATTCGAAACAGAAGTCAATGGACTAGATCTAACTTCTTTTGAAGCAGAAATCAATGGAATCGAAGCTGATTCTTTCCCCAAATCAACTTCATCAGCCCAAGAAACTCTATTAGATCTACTAGAGATAGGAGATTTACCAAAAGCACCCATCATCTGAGATCCCAGAGAAGTAGTAGTTTCAAGTATATCCGCCATTGTCTTCTTCTTCCTTTCTCCCTTGGGTCCAGTTGAACCCATTATACTTGAGGGAGATTCTTCATCATCTTCAACAAAATCAGTATCAAAATGATCACCAAGAGTAGCTAAACTTGGATTTACAGCTCTAAGACCAATGCTAAGAATCTTTTTCCCATTATTTCTCTTTTTCCTCACCATTTTTCTCAGCAGGTGTGCAAGTTAGCAACATCTAGATCCCGCTAACTTGCACCACAGACTGCTATGATCAATTTTGGGGCATCACACGTTATTTTTAATTGTTTTGACCAATTGGCAAATAATTTAGTGGAGTCTTTTCCTAAATTATAACCCATGATTTTTGTGTATTTTTAGTTGTTTTGACACATAAGGAAATAATTTCATGAAGGGTAAAATTCAGGATTTCGTGAGATACAACTCACAATTTTTTTCCATTATTAGAAATTTATATTTGTAGGCAAAAAATTCTGCGATGCCCAAAATTCATGATTTTATAAGTTAACTTATAACCCAACAATTTATTTATTCCATTTTTAGTTATTTTGACCAATTGGTAAATAATTTCGCAGAGGCTAAAATTCACAATTTCGTGAGATATAACCCACGTTTTTTTGGCTATTTTCGGTTGTCTTGACCCATTGATAAATAATTTCACAGAGCCTAAAATTCACAAGTTCATGAGTATAGTCTAAGACTTTTGGCCATTTTTAGTTATTTTGACACATTTGCAAAGAAGTTCATGAGTTATAACCCACAAAATTTGGTAATTTTTAGTCATTTCAACCAAGTAGCAAATAATTTCGTTGAAGGAAAAAAGCACGATTTCATGAGCTATAACTCATAATTTTTTGACATTGTTAGTCATTTAGATCCGTAGGCAAATAATTTCATGGAGGCCAAGATTTACAATTTTGTTAGTCAAGATTAACCAATAAAAGTCAATATTTCATGAGCTATAATACACGATTTTTAGCCATTTTTAGTTGTTTCGATCATTTCGCAAATAATTTCGTGATGAGAAAAATTCACGATTTCATGAGATATAATCCAAGATTTTTTGCCATTATTAGCTATTTAAATCCATCGCAAATAATTTTACGGAGACCAAGATTCATGATTTTGTGAGTTATAACCCATAATTTTTTACCATTTGTAGTTATTTCGACCCCTTAGCAAATAATTTTTCAGATTTCAAAATTCAAAATTTGTTGAGCTATATCCTATGATTTTTAGTAATTTTTAGTTATTTTGAAACATTGATAAATAATTTCGTGGAGTCCAAAATTCATAATTTCCTAAGCTAGAATCCACAGTATTTGGCAATTTTTAGTTGTTTTAATCCACTGATAAATAATTTCATGGAAGGCAATGTTCAGGATTTCATAAGGTATAACCCATAGTTTTTTGCCTTTGTTTGTCTTGAGACCTATAGGCAAATAATCCGTGGAGGCCAAGATTCATGAGTTCGTTATTCATAACCCACATTTTTTGCCATTTCTCATTTTGATCTGTTGGCAAATAATTTCATTGATGTTAAAATTCACAATTTCGTGAACTATAACCCACCATTTTGGCTATTTTTAGTCATTTTGACTTATTAACAAATAATTTTGAAGAAACCAAAATTCATGATTTTGTGAACTATTACTCATGAATTTTGGTCATTTTTAGTTGTTTTGATTGATTGTTAAATAATTTTATGGGGGGCAAAATTATTGAAGAAAAAACTCATGATTTCATGAGTTGTAACCTACGAGTTTTGACCATTATTAGCCGTTTAGACCCATAGGCAAATGACATCACGAAGGCCAAATTTCACGATGTCATGAATTATAACCCATGATTTTTTTCCATTTTAAGTCATTTTGACGTGTTAGCAAATAATTATACAAAGTCCAAAATTTAAAATTTCTTAAGCTAATACCAGGACCTTTGGCCAATTTTAGGGCTTGTTTGGATTGAGGGGAATGAGGGTGAAGGGAAGTTAGGGGAACCATTCACCTCCATTCACCTTGTTTGAGAACACTTAGGAGGTGAAGTTAATTCACCCTAGTTCCCCTTGGTTCACCCCCTAATAGTATAAAATTTGTTACCCTCCAAATTGGGGTGTAACCAAGGGGAAGGGAACTTCCTTCCCTTCCCTTCCCTTCCCTCAGTTTCCCTTAACTTCCCTTCACCCCCTACAAATCCAAACATGCCCTTAGTCTTCTCAACCCATTGGCAAATAATTCCGCAGAGACCAAAGTTCACGATTTCATAAGCTATAACTCATAATTTTTTGTTGGTATTAGTCATTTTGACTCATAAGCAAATGATTCTGTGAGGTCAAAATTCACGATTTTGTGGATCATAATCCATGATTTTTTGTCATTTTCAGTCATTTTGATCCATTGGCAAATAATTCTTTAGAGACAAAAATTCACTATTTCATGAGTGATAACCCACGACTTTTGACTGTTTTTAGTTATTTCGATCCATTAGCAAATAATTTATAGAGCCCAATATTCATGATTTCCTAAGCTATAACTAACGATATTTAACAACTTTTAGTCGTTTCAACCCATTGACAAATAATTTTATGGATGACTATCTTTAAGATTTCGTAAGCTCTAATTGATAGGACGGGGCTTGGTTCCCTCGTTTTACCTCCGACGACCAAGTCAGCTGGTGAACTAGAGTGGGTAAAATGAAGAATTGTGAGAGTTTTTGTGTGTAATGCAGTATAATTAGCAGATATTGCTTGGAAAATAGCCTCTATGAAAAGGAAGATTAAGATCAAGAAGATCCAAAAGTCCTTCCATCGGTCCCTCATGTCGGACCGATTGGAGCGGAGTTAACTCTCGGGGGTCTCTCGGCCACTCCTACCTCACAGGGGGGCTCTCTCTGGGCCATTGCCTCATCTGGATCAACACATGAGGGGGCAGCTTCTGATTGGTATCAGCCAAGAAGTGGTGGATGAACTTTCGGCTGTGTTGTTAGAAGCTTGTGACGCCCCTGTTTTCACACTTGGCTGCAATCGAAGATGAACCCAGAGATATCAAACCTGCCATGCACCTCCACTATGCAACAACATGTTTCACCAATCACAGTAATATCTTCTAGTGGAAACAAGTAGAAGTGAATGTACAAAACAGGCAAATAAGGGAAATAAAAATACAATAGACATGATGTAGAAAGAAATAGCTCATAATGATATCATGTCTCGACTATAATAAACCGAAATACAACTAATATATATCTAGAGTCTGAATTAATATGACATGTCTTAACATAGATTAACTAGAAATCGTACTAAGGCAACATGCTTAACAATATGAGTACAAACTCAAGTGACTGAATGGAAACATAAGACTACTGTGGAGTCCATAGTAGTAAAAATACGTGACTGCGACTATGTAAGAACTTTGTCATCCTGTGACTATTCGATGCTCTAAGCCGCCTGAAAGTTAAAATAAAATAAAAGGAAAAAAAAGAACAACAACAAGAGCGTCAGAGCGCTAGCAAGATTACCTTCATCCGCTCCCTGGAAGGGCTACTAGATGTAGTAGATGCTCTATCTATTAAGCATAGTCTACCTAGACCATTTTCCCGTATCTGATGGTATATATACTTAAAAATCTAAAACACGAGACGTAGTACGTCGAGTGAAATAATCCAACAAGGAAACCTTCATGTATATACAGTATGTCTCAAATTGTAGATAATTAAATATTAATCCCAAACTAAGCAATCAAAATATAACTGGAAAGTAAAGCATCATAATCAGCATAGGTATCTCGTATACTCGTATAACCGAGTATCTCAATCGAATATCTCAACAATGAGTCGTTGTCACTTTTGGTATCCGCTAAATACTCAGATAAAAATCCTTTTGTAAGATTATCGTGTCCCTGTGTAAAACAACAGGATAGGAATATCGATTCCTACACAATCTATACGGAAACAAAGACATAGGTTCACTGACCTCAACGCACGCTCGTGCGGGTAACTAAACATAGATTCAAAGACCCCAGCGCACTATCATGCAGATAATAAACATAGGTCCATCGACCCCAGCGCACTATCATGTGGATAATAAACATAGGTCTATCGATCTCTTTGCACGCTCGTGCGGATAAACAAGTGTTATAGGTTCATCGGTCTCTTTGCACGCTCGTGCGGATAAACAAGTGTCATAGGTTCATCGACCTCTTCGCACGCTCGTGCGGATAAACAAATATGTCTAGTGGAGTGAAATTCATCACGATCTCATTTACGGTATACTAACTCACTAACTCAAAAGTGTAATCGTAAAAATATTTTATCATAATCCCCTAGGAATACTCACATAAGTATTACAACATATTCATGACTATAAGTGTAACAATCGAGCGGCTCAAACTCCGCTAACACCTCTCAAAACAGAGCAAACAAACTCCAGAAAATAAGAAACTAGGCCAAACTGCCCAGGAAATGGTCGGTGCTGTTGTTAGTAAAACGAGCATATCTTTTTTAGAAAAACTATTTTTAGGAATAGTTTTTTGTTTCAGAGACTTGATTCACATATCTTTCATTTGGCACTAGTTTAGTTCAATTTGGAGTTCATTTGATATCTCAAATTTTCAGTTAAAGCTTATACAAGTGCAGCAGTTTTCTGCAGAATATGTATATATCATTAGTAAATCTCTTTAATTTCTCATATATAAATAAAATTAATATTTATCCTAATGATCATGATCATAAATCTAATTCTAATAGAAAATAAACAAAATAAATTTCAGTTCTAAAAACATCATGAAATTTCGTTAAAACTTGCTCAAACTACACGAAATTTCGTCGCAGTAAAAATGCATGTTTTTGTGTTTAGTATATTGGCTGTAATCGACATCGGAATGAGGTAATTAAGATTTGTTGGAAAGCTGTTGAAGAGACTACAACTTTGGTCTTTTGAGTTTTCCAAGATTCGAACTGCATCAGTGTGTAAAACATATAAACTTTTAACTGATCATTTCACCAGATATGCATTTGCACTCGTATATTCACAAATATACATTGAATTGATCTCAAGTCAATTCCTATCATACTCAAACATCAAAATATGATGTTTATCACCATATAACATATTTATTATTATTTGTCATAAAATATTTAAATTTTCGGGGTTTTATAAAGCTATTGATGAACTTCTTCTCAAGAGCATT